TTTTTTTTTTTATCCACCACTCTGTTATTTACAATCTTCGCTAAAATCTTCGAATTACAAATAAACCCATACTACTTGTCGTCTATTGCCACGAGGAAATTCGTACGATCGAAACTCGCCATAATATTGGCTATACAAATTGCTGTACAAATTGATCTGTTCTGAAAATTATACAAGATTATTGGATTCATTTTGAAAACGCGACCTCAGCACAACACGACGCAACTTTATCAAACTTCTTAAAAAATTTTATATAACAGATGTCTTTTTGTTTCTTTCTTTCTTTCTTTCTTTCTTTTAACTTTAATTTTAAAGTATAATTTTTTCAATTATATAAAAAAAAAAAAAAAAAAAAAAATCAATTGAAAAGTAGACGCCATATTGAACGAGTGCGCTCGTCAAAATGATGAAAGGGCAAGTGGAAATGAACGAAACCGATTGATATATACTTATGTTTATTTTTCTTTTACGAACGTATCGGTTTTCTTCAGACGATGTACATAATAAGTTATGAGTAAAAGAGTGTTGGTTTTATCCAAGACCGTTCACTTTATTCGCCTGTTCAAAGTGGACTATTAATAATTAATTCCCCCCTAAACCCCACGTTACCTGAGCGTGAATGTGTGTGTATATGTATGTGCGTGTGTGTGTATGTATGTGTGTGTGTGTATGTGTGCATATATCGAATGCAAATAAACGGGCACAAAAGATCAGAGAAAAAGAACGAAGAGAGGAAAAAATTAAACAAATACGTACAAGGGACGAAAATTATGACTCAGTCCAGCCATGGATAATACCAATTCTCAACGATTTTACTCAAATATATAATATACTTTCTATTAACCTTTTGTTCGTTAATTCGATATTCTTTTTTGTAGATTTTTTTTTTTTTCTTCTTTCCTTTTCGTCTTTCGTTTAGATTACCAAATACAAAAACATAGGTGATACAATATATATATTTATATATATATGTATTTATATATATATATATAATATGTATAATGTTATAATACAAATGTGCCTCGTACTGTGCTGAGTACGATATAGATCGATCAGAATCGACGAGTGTCTATAATTCATTTTTATTTTTCCTTTTTTTTTTTTTTTTTTTTGTCCACCTAATTTATCTTTATTTCCTGTCCACAACTTCCGCTTCCTCTCTATCTTTCTCGCGAAACTTTACAATTCACAATCATCCTATCTTCCATTCACATCCTCGCGGGCATATCGATACGAGTTAAACGCCACATCATAGCAATATTAAATATGTTCATCGATTTCCTTCCCTTCGAGCTATGTATATATACACATATATCAATTTATATATGTATATATGCACAAAGAAATATAACCGTTTAGAATTCTTCTCTCTTTAATAATGCATATCATTTCTCTAGAAGTTTATTACAACGAACAATAAAATGTTTAATGAAACGTTCCACCTTCCTCCGACTCGTTCAATCGTATGATCATTCACCTCCATCTTGTTCCATTTTGCTCGTATGCATACACGCACACACCCACACACTCACGCGCGCGCACACACACACTTGTTGTTATTCATCCTTTCGTTCTCGTATTATCCTCCATCGAAACAAGGACTGCCAGACGATTCGACGTTTTCTTCCACATTGTTCGCCATTTTCTTCTTCATAACTCATCTTTCCCCTCCCCCCCCCTTTTTTTTATAATAAATATGTACACACCTTGAACATTTGTACAAGTTTAAAGATCTTCTCATTCAGCCTTTTACTATTTAGTTTATTCGTACCTCCACCTTCTCCTTCTAACAATATTTATCATTGATAACCTCAAACGCGATATCTTATCCTCCCTCTTCTTTTATCCTATTACTTTCTTTTCTTTCTCTTGCGTAACTATAGGCGCAACAGGTGTGTATTCGATCCTTTTCTTTTCCTTTTCTTCGCGTCGAACGATCAAACAGTCAGGATCGATCGATAATTCCATTTGCAACGAACGACTCTTGTCCTAGCGATCGAAAAATGTGCGTGTCCCTTTTCTCTCTCGAAGTGTCCGGGAAACAGCGTCGTTTACGCGATTTCACAGACTTCGACACTCGTCACGGATAGTCTACTACGAGTTTCTCTAATTTCTAGCATTGCACACGGTTCGGGGACGGTAATGAATCGGACTCGGGATCCTCTAGATCGAGATCAATCCTCGTCAGATGAAGAATCGCGTCGTTCAAAGAAGGCTCCAAGACAAAAGGGAACGCGATCGATAAAAGCGATTCGTATAATTTTCTAGAATCAATATGATATCGGTGTCAGAAATTTTTTTTTTTTCTTTTTTTTTTTTTTTTTTTTTTTTTTTTATTTTTTTTTACGAAATTTTTAATCGAATCGATTTTTGGGAGGTTTCTAAGGATTCGCGACGATTTTCGAGAACGTTTTACTAATCTAGAAGCAAAAAATGTACACGGATTAAATCAACCTTTTTCTTTCTATATGATTCTAAATTGATAATCAAATGAAATCATGTTATTTTTGTAAACTAAATATAAATTGTATTGAATATTAAATGGAAAGAAAATATAATTTATCATCGAAACTAGAATCCACGTACATTTCTTGCGAATATAGATGAGACTCTTAATAACTAATCGAATGAATTCCATACTTCTTTTGCTGCCAGATTTATTGATGAGATATAGATGAATGTACATCTGGACCCCAATAGAGTGCTACTTTAAATCGAGATTAAAACGAAAGAAGCGTTTATCATCCTAGATCATTTTGTTTGCGTTCGTTCGTCGACGTTTCACGGTCTAACCTCAATAGATCCGTTGAACAGCCAGCGATTTTTTTTTTTTCTTTTGTAATCATTTTTATTTTCTTCCCATAAGAAATAAACGACCAACTGTAAATGCAATAATGATTGACGATGATCGTAAAATGGTAACGTTCTCGCAGGACGAAAAAGATGATTCACGTTTAAAGTAAAAACCTTATATCTTTCTCTTTCCATCCATGTTTGTCGCAGTCTTTCGATCACCAGCCAAGGCTTTCGGTTCACGCAGTCATTCTTCGATCAATTCACTCGTTTCCTCCGTGTTTTAACTAATCTTGACGGGACACAAACGTATCAAGCTAGCGTTCTAAAGAATATGGACGATGATATCGCATGGTTTCGCTTTCACTGAAACATCATATGTAATGTGGTCTATTTACCGTTAAAATGGCTCATTTCCATTTTAACCAAGTTATAAACTTGGAACATATATATGTGTATGTATGTATGTATGATAAATGTTACATTCGACTATCCAGGACAACGAGTAACCTCAAATTACTTGTTCCGATAGAATGTTTATCGATGATGACCGATGGATTTTTCTATAAACGTATAAAAAAGACGAATTATATCGCGACGAAAAGAGCGATGCACGCATTCCCGCTTCAATATTAAAGATCACAGCTGTATCTCGATCGATTTTTGAATCGGGGACACGATGAAAATGTTTATACGCGAATTTCACACTAACATTATGATGCTCGGTCCTAGACAGTCAAAATGACATATAGCGCCATCACAAAGGAAACGAGTAATTAAAGAACTGCGTGATCCGTCGAAGATCTCGCGTTACTCTCTCAACCACGGATTTTTTTTCACAGGTTTTTCCTTCTCGTCTGCCTCTCTTCCTTGATCTCATCCTATCCTCACCCATAATTTCGTTCATTCTCCATCGAAAATTAGTAGATCGCATTTTTCTTTTCTTTCTGTATTCTTTCTAATTATCCTTTTTCCTCGTATTTTTCCTCTTTCTTTTCGTTCTGCACTTTTTTATTTTGTTTTTATTTCATTTATTCCTAAGCTTGTATAAAAACGATAGTTCTTTTTTTTTTTTTTTTTTTAATTACACCAAAAGACGAGTTGTGTGCATAAAGCAAACTATATTGGGACAACATGAATTCTGAATAAATACTTAATATTACAACAAAATTTTAAGTATTCTTTCGTAATGTCATCGCTATATAGTTTGTAAGAAAATAAGATACTTTACTTGAAATTTGTATGTACAGATATTACAAACAACGTTTTTTTGTTTTCTTCTCTCTCTCTCTTTCCTCTCTCCCTCTCTCTCATAATGCATAGGCAATGTGTTTCTGTTTTCTTTCATTTTGTTTCTTTTTTTCTTGTTTTAATCTCTTTTAACTACACTTGTCTATTATACATTATTGTGGAGCAAGTCTAAACGGATCCACTCTTCTATGCGTTTCCATTCTCTCTCTCTCTCTCTCTCTCTCTCTCTCTCTCTCTCTCTCTCTCTCTCTCTCTCGGAACTTTTCTTTTTCTTACTATTGGCTTCTTTTCTCGTTGTTTTCCCGAGGTTTTGAGAATGACTTTTTATCTACTTTTTTTTCCAAAATGAAAATATATAATACCAATTTTTTTTTTAAATTCATTCTTTTCTCAATAATGAATTCGAATTGATCTCTTTTT